AAAAATCAGTATTAAAGTGACCGGAACATCTCCAGTATAGTTTTTTGTTTTTTTTTACTTTGAAGCAATATTCACTCAGAGATTGCTGGTAAATTTCACAGACAATTATAAAGCAATTACCAGGGCTATTATAGATAAGTGAAACAAACTAAAATTAAAACTAATAATTAAAAAAAATATAAAAAATTAAATATAAATTTTAAATAAATAAAAATTAATGCAAGCTATATATAGCTACTAAAATGTATACGTATGTTTAAATAAAGAAAAATATATAGAATGTATCTAAAATATTAAAATATAAATGATATAAAAATATTAAAATCATATAGAAAAAATAAATGATATAGAAATTATACATATACAAAACTAATAAATATTAGTAATTAGTCATTTTATTTGATTTAGTAATTAGTAATTACATTTTATTAGTAATTCTATTTTAAAATATTAGTAATTTTGTGTATTGTTATATTTTATTTAATATAAATTACACACACACACACACACACACATATACAGTGGGTACGGAAAGTATTCAGACCCCCTTAAATTTGTATACATACAATGTTTTGGTATATATATACACACACATTAGAGCTAATATACAATATTATAAATGTAATATAAATTATATAATTTATCCTAGTTTGCTTGTGCTAATCTCCATTTCACATTTTCTTCTGGAGATGTTCTGGTCAATATCAGAATAAAGGCTTAATCTTAATCTGTAAATGTGGCCATTTTTTGCATTTCCACTGCATTTTCACGACCCAGTGTCTCTCATTTTCTCTGTTTTTCTCCAGCTCTGTCCTCAGTTGCTCATTTTCTGGGCTGTGATGGCTGCGCTGTAGAATTATGGGATAGAAATCAATAGTGTCAGGATTGAGTGATCAGGGAAAGTTTTAGTGCTGTGGGCTCAAGGCTTCATCAACACGGTTTAAAGCACGTCTCCTGAACCCCGAGCACAGGACTCACTTTACTGCGCTCCGGATTAATCGCCTGCAGCAGAGCATCATGGGATTGGCCTGAACACACGGGGCTTGTTTCAGGATGTAGTAACTTTTGTGCCACATTTTTCTGACTGTGTGACATTCACTGCCTGGATGTTAAGCTGAAAGCTGATGCGTTTGAGATGTGTCCCTATAAATGACACACCTGGATGTTTGTTTGTGTTATAAAACTGTGTAATTATCATATAATTATTATTATTGTTTTTAGATTCTATATTATTTAATATAAATAGCTGTACTTTAGTTTATGTAATATAAAATTTTATATATATATATATTATATTTAATTTGTTAATATATTTAATATATATTGCATCTATGTTATATTTCATATTTATGTTATTATTATTATTGTTGTTAATATTATTGATATTATTATTATTTATTAATATTATTATTACATTATTTTGTTGAAAATAGTATATTTATTTTATGTTTTACATATTATTT